AATACCAGAATACTATGATGTGTTTAGAAAATATTATGATATTAAATTTTATTGATATCAACCAGCACGAGGGAGACTTTGCGGTAAATAACCTCAAGGATAACGCTCATATGTGATCATTATACATCATGGCTAGGTGAACTGAAAAAGAAAAAGTAAGTGCCAGGTTCATAGAGTTGACTGACTCTGAAGTGTTTGCGGTTAATGACTCTGGGGCGTCTTGGTGAACGGCGTTCCGCTTCATTACGCTTGTGTCGAGCCCTTCATCTCTGTCCCAAACCGCACAGTCAAAACGTCCGGGGCCTCTCTCTCTCTTTCTCTCTCTCTTACAGTCGTCTCCTTTCTGAAGGCTCTCTCTCCATGCCGCCGTATGTTTTCTGTGTGAGGAGCAAAGGAAGAGAAAGATAACAATGGGGTGGGTCTCTCTCACCACCTCTTCAAAAGAAAAACAAGCTTTGAAAGAGTGACTGCTAAAGGAGGTTTGGGGGGTTACAGCACACACACACACACACACTCACACTCATGCCCATTGGAGAGCAATTCACTGGGGCCAGAGTCTATTCAATGGCTTTGTGGCCTTGTTCTCGGTAAAGAGCAGCCAGGGATTTTTAAGGGAAACGCTGTTACAGCGGCAGCCTTCTTAATTAGCTCGACCCATTGTTGCAGCAGTGACTTTCCCCAGCCTTGTACAAAGCGTTTGGACACAGGAAATTGCTTGTGCCTCGGCAACAAAAAGATGTTTGCATACTTAAACCTTTCCCTTGTCTTTTAGAATGCACCGTTACAACTCTCTTTAATATTCAGATCTTACATTGTCAAAGAAAACGTGATTAGTGGGGATCTCACAGGAATCTGTGAAACTGCCAGGCCAGTTTATGCTGATGTTACAGCAGAGGCTGCAGGTAGATAATAGTATTGTATATAATAGTATATTGCTCTCTGTTTGTGTCAGAGCTAGTCTTCTGGTGGCTACAGTGCCAGTTTGGGCTTTAATTTGAGTGACACTGTGTTCTTAATATGCGTTAAGAATGAGTCTCAATTCTTTAGTTAACATTTAAAAACACATTACTGCTCCCTGCCTTGTACGTTTTTCTAATGTTTTGTCCTGGTTTCGGTCAAAGATGCACATTTGTATCCTGTTTTTTGTAATGTATTAATATATCATTGTTTGTTTATTTAGTCTTATCATTTTATTGCTTTTTGATAGTAAAATGTGCCATTTACTAATTTGATTTAAAATATAAGTAACTATATTCTCTCTGCTGGAATTACCTTATAGCAAATGGTCTGACTTTGCACTGAATAGTTTGCTAAGTAAATCATCAAACCCCAACAGTAATCCCCAACAGAGCCTTCAGTGTCTCTCTTTCATTTGTTTTTTTTTCTCCTCTCATGTGTCTGGTATGCCCTCTTCTCTAAACCACTCGCTTCCTTTCCCCTCTTTCTCCCTCTCCCTCTCTCCCTCTCCCTCTCTCTCTCATGGCTCTGGCAGTTGACATATCGGCCGGCCCCCCCGTCAGAAGAAGTAGTCGTTGATTTGGAGTCTCCTGTTATTGTCCGGGAGATAATGAGGGGGCGTGGCCCCATTTAGACACCATTGTCCCTCCAATCACTGCTGCTGTAATTAACATGTGATATGGAGTCTCACCATTTGCCTCAATTCTGTCACCTCAGAAGAGGTGGCACTGGATGCTGTTAGGCACAAACACCTAATTAGCCCTAGAATTAGCAAGCGTTAAAGGAATAACTCCTTCACTTGCGGCAAAGGTGCTGTTCAATAGTGCCCTCAAGAAAAAATGCTGAGTGAATCGCATTATGGCTCTCACTACTGGTGGTGGAGTTTATCTGCCCGCTGGCGTCTATGAGCTGTGCACTGTTTGTTGTTTATCAGCTGATTGGAGATGTTATGAATGTGGTTATATTCAGGCCCGTAAGGATGGCCGTCTCGAGGGATGCCCGTCACCCGTCGCCACGGCCCTCTCTCCAGCCCTATCGGGCTCTTGCCCTCTTCTTTCTGTCACTCACCCATCCCAGCCAAACAACGGGCCCTTTCTAGTTCCCTTATCATCCACCGCATGGGGTCACCGGGTCACCACCACACTGAGCATGCTCCAAACGGCCAGCTATCGATTTTGATTCTTGCAGCGCTCAGTGAATAGAGAGAGGAGAGGAGGGGTGCTAGATCGAGAGAGACAGATAGAAGTGTGAAGCTTGAGCACCGAGTCGAGCTTCATTCTGTCGACAACCTCTCTCTCTCTCACTCTCTCTCTCTCTTTTCTTCGGCCCTTCGATCTGGACGGCTGCCGGCGGCCCCCCGAGGCTTGAAGGGCCAGTGTAGATTGGGCTCCTTTGTGGGGATCTGCAGAGCAAGAGTGACAGCAGTGACAGCAGCGATAAAAACATGCCCCCCTCCTTCCTGTATTGTCCACTGCAGACATGCTGTTCACAATGTGTAACCTTTCGATAGCCAACCAGGCTTTAACCCTCCCGCTGCTGGAGCAGGGGCTTCAGAGGAGTGCACTGTGTGCGTTCGGTGGATAAAGCAGCCGAAAGAGTGTGTAATTGAGATTATCTATCTAGGTGTGTGAATCTAAAGCCAAATCACTGGTCATCTCAACCACCTGATCATGAATGGAATCTTCAGTGAGCAGACAATTGTGAAAATATCTTTGCATTCCTTTTAGCTCTAATTTAAACTTTGAATGGCTTGAAAAGGAAGTAATGGGATTTGCATGGAGCAGAGAGGCAGACAGAAATTCAATTAGAGAAGAAACAAATATTTGAATAGAGCTGTAGATGTATCCGTATTGACTATTGGAAATAGATAGACATAGTTTTTCTGGAGAGAACTAGCACACTGCAGACTAGTAACCTGAAGCCTTGAACCAAGTTTGGAGGCTTTAGCTTCAAAATTGAGTTGAAGAGAGTTAGAATGCCTGTAATAGATGAGTGAGTTAAATAATAGCTACTGAAAAACAATTACAGAAAGTTGGGCTGTAGTACATTGTAAAATCACCTGGTGTTTATACTAATTTGAGAGCTTTAAGACTGTAAGAGCCATGGATCGAATTACTGACAGTTTGTTGGGTAATTTAAAAGAACTTTGTATTGTAATGCCCTGTAAACCTAACCTAGAATCATGAAGAGATCAAGAAATGAAGATCCATATTAAACACGAAAAAAGTTTGAATACCCCAGACAAATGACTTTTTTTGTTGATGTTCTAAGTCAAAATAAGTCTTCACCTTCTCCCTCGGGTGAATTAAATATGACATTTCGCCACAATTTATATTCATTTGCTGAGATTAACATGTTGGGGAAAAAATGAAACATAAAATATTAAATGTGCTATAACCTTTGTCGGGCCAAGTTTTTTCCCATTAAATAAAAACCAACAAATGAACAGTAACCATGCTTGAAAACGTGCAAAAGTTCTCTGTAGAGGATGTGTAATAATTTTCACTTTGAAAATTAACAAAACATATCATTTGATCAGGGGTGCTGAAACATACGTAAGACAGTATTTATCGTGCTCTACTCACTGTGCTCCTTCAGTGATTCCTCAGTTAAACTTCTACAACTTTGTTAGTTTTGTTTTTCTGGTCACAATTAAAGCATGAGGGAATATAAACATAGTGTAAAAGGAACTATTTGGAGAAGGGATCACTCCCATGAAAACAAAACCTTACCTCAGAAGATCTGTTGTCAACTGTGCTTAAAGGTGCCATATGATGCATTTATTCAGTATTCTAAAGTTGTTACCTGATGTCTACATAGAGAAGCCCAGATGTGGTTTTACATGTCCATTTACAACTTGTAGCTAACGTAACCTATACTAGCTACTCGCCTTCAATATCAAAAACAGCACAAAGTAAATTAAAGTGGTTAGCTCACTATGAAACTTTCAATCTAAGATGATTTAGCTTCAATCAACAAAAAGTGGATAAAATCGCACAGCATGGTTGCTACGTACAGATTGCTGTTGGGCTTGTGATGCTAATAAAGATGGAAATGCCCCGCTCTTCAGTCTCTTTAGTGTCAAATGCTGGACGAAGCTGCTCGATATTGTCCAGGGTTTGAGAAACTGTCTGAAGTGAAATGTGCAGAGCAAACTAGGAACTTTGAATTAAAGTTTTCTGGGACCCTGTTAAACATATGGGAGCTGAAGTTGGCTTACTATTCACCAGCTTGTTTTTATGAATTTTAAATGATGCCGCAGTTACATTCTGGTACCTATACCACCTTAGCATTTAAAGTGAAATGGAACATTCAATTAAGAAGCTGGCAGATAGGAAGCCAACTTCAGCCGCATTTAAAGATGAACATCAGTCATGCCTGTTGATAGTTTGGCTCCTTGGGAAGGGTATGGAAAGTGCTATCATCCCCTTCACATCCAGAACGGTACAATTTCTGCAAATCGTCTGACATTTCCATTGCTGTTGCTCTGTTGTCGTTTTGTCCTTCTGTGCTAGAACATGGACTGGTGTATGTAAATTTTGGGGGCATAAATATTAATCAGAATTAAACAGTTCAGGATTTTGGAATTGGCCCATTTCGCCCTTATTTGCAAATGCAGAATTTATTTGAAGGTGGAACCAACATTGTGGTTCACTGTATGTCCCATTTACGAAAATTCCGTTATTCAACTAGCCAATGTAAATAGTTTCCCATTCTATAGCACCTTTATCATAATTAGATTATATGTTGTATTGTGGATAATTTGTAGTAATATATGTTTAACCGAAGGTAATGTTTCGTCATGGTTTGTGCACCTTGTATTCTGTTTTGACAAATATTCATGTCTATAACTTGTACAGTTGCGATTGAAAGTGATTCTGATAATTATCCTTTGACCCATTTTAGATATTGTACCAGTTAGACATTGTCAGCAACACTGTAAACTCATATAAACATCAAATTTATCTAATGGTGCTGTGTCTGTAAAAAGGATTTTACAATTTCATTCAAGGTCTTCAATAATCTATAATAATCTCCTCCAGGGAGGAGAAGGAGCGCTGGATCCGGGCGAAGTATGAGCAGAAACTCTTCCTGGTGGGGCTGCCACAGTCAGATGTGCCACTGGGTCAGCAGCTGCTGCGGGCTGTGGTGGAGGACGACCTGAGGCTGGTGGTGCTCCTGCTGGCTCATGGCACCAAGGAGGAAGTCAATGAGACCTATGGTGATGGAGATGGACGCACTGCCCTGCACCTGTCCTGTGCCATGGCAAACGTTGTTATCACACAGCTCCTCATCTGGGTAAGGGCCAAATGGCAAGGGTCAGCATCCATGTCCACTTAGTATACATGAAAGCTTATGTTTAGTGACTACACCTTAAGTGTGCTCTATGAGACATTAATTTTCTTCCTTTCCACTGCGCACTGTTAAGGAAGTGGACATTTAGCAGACACATTGCAAAGGAACCAGTGTCAATGTTCCATATTCTTAGACTGATGCAACTGATAAAAACTTGATAAAAGCATGTGGAATGGGGTGTACCCAGCACAGTGGAAAACTGTGATTATAACTGCTAGTCCTTTGGGTCAAAAACATGATTGGTTAATTGGACAGGCACTTTCTAATCCTAACATCACCTAACATCAAAGGGAAAAAACCGGACTGGACAGTTTTACAAGTTCTACAAGAGTAGTTCTACAATAACTGCAGAGTTAAAATACAACAAATATGCTGATTCTGTTAAATAAGCATGAACAAAAAATATGTTTTTAGTTCCCAGAAACCACTGGGCCTTCTCTGAATGCCCTGAGGGTTCCCAGTGTGGTATCAGTTTTGAATTTGAGATCTTAATATATATTTAAACATGTAAACAAATCTGTCTAAAATTTTTTGTTGTACATAGCATTTTTTTATTGTACATATTTGATCCTAGCATAATGTCTCACAAATCCAGTAATTTGAAAAGGTAAATTTAGTCAGGGTCATCACTGTTTAGGGTCATTCAAGTCAAGAATTAATTTATGTTGTACTTAATTTACTTACATAGTTTATTATATAGTGTAGTGTGCTAGCGCAAAGACTTCATTTGTACTAAAATGAATGTTAAAAGTTTAAATAAGCTATTCCATATGAGGCATTTTCTGTGAGTAATTTCAATAGTACTAACATTATTGCTGTTGTTAATTAAGCCTTTCCCTGCCTTTTTCAAATCTGCTTTCTGTACAGTATGGCGTGGATGTGAAGAGTCGTGACGCCAGGGGTCAGACGCCCCTATCCTATGCCCGGCGGGCAGGAAGTCAAGAATGTGTTGATATCCTCATCCAACACGGGTGCCCTTCCGACAGTGGCGGCCTCTCCACACCAACCACCACCCGGCACAACCCCAATATCAACAACAACAACGCACAGTGCGAGCTCAACCGTAGTGTCAGTATCATGTAGACCGTGGGAGGACGTTCTCTTGCGCATACCCGAACCCATACTGTAAGCCTTGAGTGTCCCAGTGCCCTGATACTGTGACTTCCTTCCCTTCCTTCAACTGTGTCCACATGGTTTCGCAATGAACTTCCACTGTTCGCCATGTCACCTCCAGGTTACTTTTGTGAAATGCCATCTCTTGGCCAAGACACGGTGACCCCATTTGCTGACCATTGCTACTGTGTCAAGTCTAGACTTAACTGTGTAGATGCAGATGTGCAAGGTCACCCCTCTCTCTATCCATAACTTACTGTTGTGACAGACCCTAATATCCATGGACAGACTGCAACATGAATCCATTAACTCAGTGTAGGAGAAATGTGTAGCAGAAAGGATTGGTCAGGAGGGTAAGAGGAGAAATGTTTCAACACTTCAGTTGAGACTCCACACAATATATTACCTATGACATAGTCTTTGGTCAGACTCCATACTAATGATGGACTTTTGGATTTTTTCCCCCCCAAGACTAAGTTCATGCGTTTATGCAAGTTTCCTATGAAGTTAGATAAAGAAAAACACTGTAGAATAGAGCCCTGTAAGCTGATTAAGGAAGACTTCAACCTGTGTGATTGCACCATCTAACAAGGTACAACTCATCTGACTTAATTTTCCTTCTTGCATTCAGCTCATCCAAGAATTTCTTCAGTGTTCATCAAACTAGATGGCTTGCTAAGAATACCTCTTCAGTCGGACCGAAAAGAAAACCTGAAGGGCATGATTACCCTGAGAATAGTGTGTCATTATCACGGCTTTGTGAGATGGATTTCTGGAGGGCTCTGAAGTGGTCTCATGACTGTGTGACACTGAGGTCTCCATATATAAAACTCCTTTTAAATGAGAGATCGGTTCACTGGCAGATGCCAGTAACCCCATGCTAGGTAATATTATATTTGCTGTGAACTCCTCCGTATGCATGTGTGTTTGTGTGTGAGTGCGAGAGAGAAAGAGAATGCTTGTTTACCTCCTCCATACTTGATCATACATTGATACAGACATGACCATTTTGTATTGCATACTGATATAGAATAGTATTCTAAAAATAGTGGATCGAGGACGGTACAGTGGATTATGTACAGAACTGTGTATATAGTAGCTTATCTTTCCCTTATCTTTCCCTCTGACGGCCTCATCCACTCCCATTTAGGTACTAAACTATTAGCAGAAGAAAGGCTTGTCATAACTGGATGTGAGTTGCTTTCAGCACTCTGAAGCTGTTCATCGGAATAGTTTGACTACAAATGCTAAAACGGCTAGCTATAAATGAACACTAGTTGCAGTCAATGAGCGTCAGCTCAGTTGTGCAATGCTAACTGATTTATGGTAACTTTAGCCATGCTAGTTTGTTTTTTTTTTTTTGTGGTCAAACTATTCCTTTAGTCTTTTATCTGAACTGACAGAACATTCATCTTGACAAGTCAGTAAAGCTGATGAGCTTAGAGGGAAAGTAGTAGCAAAGTGGGACACTTTCAAAACTGCTCTGTTTCAGAAAGCTGAAATAAGACCTGTTAATATTCTTTTTTTTCATACCATGCAGTATTTTGTGTTTGCAGAGCATTTGGTACATTAATGTAGGTAATAATCCATGCGTAATATGAACCATTTATCCACCTTCATGAGGATAAGTTATCAACTACACCCCTGTCTAACTGTCCCTGGAAACACAATACGGCATTGTTGTCATCATTTGATAGACATACGTAACAATCTGTACGATGGAGATAAGTAAAAACCTCTGTTCCTTCATATGGTTTAATTGTTACACTTTTTAGCATTATTTAACTGTAATCAGTGTGAACAGTTTTATAAGTTGGTAAAGAAAAAATATATAGCAACTAATTTCATTTTTGTGAACAATTACATTAAGTTCATTTTTTGAACTTCATTTTTTGAACGTGTGTACTTCATTTCAAGGACTCTTGCACATTATTTTTCTACCAAAAGAAGATCTGAAATTGTAGGTTGAATTTAGGATTGAATTCTAATAAGGAAAAAAATTGTGTGATGACTTGTAGCCAGGCTAACACTTTTGAGGTTTGGGGTGCCCAACTCCGGTCCTGGAGGCTCCGGGTCCAGCACATTTTGGTAATCTTCCTACTCAAACACCTGATTCAACTCATCAGTTAATTAACAGGCTCTAAGACATGTGTTAGAGGAAGGAAATCACCAAACTGTGCTGGACTCTCTCTCTTGGTCTACTACTGCAAGGTTTATAGGTTGACCTTCTAAAGTTGTGTGGATATTGAATTGGCCATTTTTTGTTTTTTTCTTGTAAATCGATCATATCTCATATTTTAGCTTCCTATGATGCCATTTGGCCAATTCTCATCATTCAGAAAGAATCGCAGTCACAACCTGTGCCAATAAAGGAAACATCGTCACATCAGCTCACTCTCATAGACTTTGAGGACATATTTCAGTTAGTTATGGGGTACAGTGGGAGAAAAAAAATCAACATTCCCCAGCTCTCACAGTCCTACACCACATGGTCTGCTGTGCAGAGTGGAGTTGGCTGTTCGAAAGTAGTATTACGGAAAGGAAATGGCTTCATTAAACATTAAAACCATCAGGCAATTAAACTGATATCAGTACTTGCACTGTTCTCTACTAAAACTAGCCATATTCTCATCTTCAAAAGAGCATATTAGCCCTCTTTTAGTTTGGTTCATTTTCATTTTAGGTACTTTGATTTGATGTGTCCACCTTCACATCTGACCATCAAAGGTACTTTGTGTATAATGTTGTACATTTGACATATTTATAAAAGCCAGATGTAAATATTGTTTTTTTTTGTTGTTGTTGCTTTTATTGAATTGTCTTTTTTTATTTTCCATTGTTTTTACACTCTGAACGTGATGAAGTGACTTCATGAGAGTTAGCTGTTGTGTGCTTGGATGCTTGGCTGGCTATTGACATAATAAACACTCCAATAAAATGATTTATACCATAAGACAGCTGAAGTGTTGTACTTGCATTAATCAATTTATTCATTAATGTAAAACATGGATAATAGTTCATCTTAATCATCTATTTGTCTCTCCTTTTACTGTACGACTGTTATTGTCTTTTTCTTTCTCAACTTCATTTCTCCTTCTTACTCTTAGAATCTCCTGCATATTTTTCTTGTTTATTTATCATAGCCACAATCACAGTCTTTGCTTTTCTCTCACTCTCCCTTCATACCACATCTTCTCTTTTCACGACTGCCCCCAAAATCTAATGGTGCCTCACCTTCTCCCTACTCTTCTCCCCTCACCTGTCTTCTCTTTCAGTCTTCCTCTCATCCTCACTTTTCACATCTATCCCTGCTGTGCTGTCTGCCTCTTCCCTCCCCTCTCTGTCTCTCTCTCTCTCTCTCTCTCTCTCTCTCTCTCTCACATTCTCATTCTCTCTCTCTCTCCCCTCCTCACCACCCCACGTTAATTTGCTTGAGAATGCATTAGCCGTAATGAGAGCCGAAGGCCGAGGGAATCCTCCAGGGTTCCATTAATCATTGCTCCTCAGACAGCCAACCTTGATTACAAGTGGCAAGAAATTCATTAGAGCCGCGCCTCTGACAACTTTTATCTCCGCCACTGGATCTGACTCATTAGGCAGCCAAATTAAGGCTATGATGGCCCTGATGAAATTCATCGCTTGTTTATCTTGTGCGATTTGATGCATCTGCCCATATTTCAGCCTCGTGGGCGTCCCCCAGACACTCCCCAGGATTCAGGCTTCCGCCCAGCGTGGCGCTCTCCTGTAGAGCACTGCCTGGCTGCCGGTGCCTCAGAGAACCTGTCTGTACTGCTGCTTGAGCGAGGGGTGGGAGCACTTCAAGGGATGGCTTAGCATAGGGGACTTGTTAGGTAACGATACATTGATGGAAACAAAGCAATTAAACAATTAATTTTAGAGGCATGTAAAGTGTCATGTTGGAGATAGCAGACGCTGCAAGTTTGAGAGCACTGATCCAGGATCTGTTTGGCTGTCCGGGTTCTGATGAATACGCTCAAAGGGACAGGGGAAACTGAGCAGGCTTTGGTTCTCCCACTCTGTGCTCGCTGATACAAGGGCCTGGAGCTGTTTCATTACAGTCTCCTTCAGCACCACAGGCTAAGAAAAACTGAAGAAATATCTCACTTGTGTGTTTTGGTAATAGCACCCTAATACTAACAAAGATAAACAGCAATTAAGCAATCTACCTAGCAGTTATAATTAGCATGCTGATAAAAGCTGATTTTTAATTAAACAAAGTAAACTGTAGATAAACAAAGATAAAATTTTATTCAAGCTTATGTTTCTCTTCAACCATTTTTTCATATCTGCTAACTTGAAGTATACAGTTTGCCAAACTGTAAAATGAATGCCAGAATTAAAGAAAATGAGAGTGCCAGTTTTATTGCTGGTTTCTTGTCGATGTGAATTTGTTGGTAATGGAAAGTACAGGCATGATGTTGATTTAAGTGTATTAATATAGCAGGCAAACTACAAATCTGCTTCGTTTTACAAGTGCAAGTTCTTCATTGTTCAAAATACAATATTATTGTGAAGATTCAGGACAGATACTCCCTCCTTTCTTTGCATGAATAAGCTTTTTTTTGCACAGTGCACCTGTTACTGATCTCTTACCTGAAGTCTCCTCCCATCCCTGGATCCATGTTGGGAAGTTCTGAGACTGTATTTCCTGGAAGCATAGTTTAAATGCAGTTTAAAAGATTTTTTTTACTCATCACATTCTGCTGTCCTTACATGAGCTGACAGTTGTTAATAATACTATTAATATCATTAATATTAATGCCATTAGCTTCAGGGGGCAAGATTGTACATTCCAAATAAAAGCTAGCCATTAAATAAGGGATACTGTGATCATTGCTGTTATTATTAATCATTGTTAAGTATAATTCTTTTTACTTAAACTACTTTCAGATTATTTTTATAGAGGAATTAGTGCTTCATTATCATACATTTTGCAAGAATGCCAGAGCCCATACAAACCTATACTGACAGTAAATGTTAGGTTTGATCCAGCTCTAATTATTATTATTATTATTATTATTATTATTATTATTATTATCATCATCATCATCATCATCATCATCATCATCATCATCATTAGTTTACACTGTTTGTTTTCTTCCTTTTTCTGTAAATGTGTAAATATGCTTATACATCAACTTACAGTACATGTATGACAAACTGTGGTTATACCAGAAATGCTCTTATTAAAGTCCAGCCTCACTGTATGACTTTGGATGATACCCATGAAGTGGATTCAAATGCTCCCTCACAAAAGCTGAGCGCGCCTTCCCACCTCAGCGTCAACTTCATCCTGACCATTAGCTCTTATGCTTGAAAACACAACGCGGTTATGACGCATTATAGCAAGCCCCAACGGCTGACTTAAGTGCCTCGGAAAGGTTTTGACTTTTGTTTTAACCGAAAAGATCTAACTTTTTAGCTACCTGTGAAAGTCTCTGATATGTGGAGTTATTTTGTTAGCTAGCTAAAGCCTGCGCTGCAAAAGCCCCAGCACAGAATTAGCTTTTTAGCTTCGGTTTATATTTGTGTATAATGGAACTTTTCTGATGTTAATTCGACACGGAGTTGATCCCGTGTTGAAAAATAAAATGTTTTATTACAGGAGTTATGTTATATTTAAAACACAGTTCTTAAAACGTACTTAAACATTAGCATACTTACTCACAAGCTAATATCAGCGGCACTAACTAAGTTCAACGGACAGCGGCGCCCTTGAACTCTGGTAATCTGTGGGTAAAGCGGCACTAACGTTACACCCACTAACGACCTACATCTTCTGAACACATAGGAGAAAGTAAGTCTTGAGTCGTCCAGGTTAAACGGTAAGTTCACAAAGACCACCGGTCACTGCTCTAAAATGGCGGAGTCGCCTTCCTGTAAAGACTATGTGTTTGTGTCAAAAGTGAAACAAATAATGAGACGAAATGATTCCTGTGGTGGTTTCTTTGACGCCAGGTCTGGTTTTTAACTCGATCTGTGGCTTGGCAGTAAAAAAAAAAAAGCAGACTTTTTTTAACATTTCTTCTCACTTTTTTAGAACTTGCAGTATGAATTTGTTCAGTGTTTTTTTTTGTGTGTGTGTTTATATATATATATATATATATATATATATATATATATATATATATATATAACTATACTATATAAAACCATAAGCTCATTTAACTACTGTATATCGTGTTTCAAAAAAAGAAAGGAACAAAAGTTTTATATAATTGCATACAAGCCTGGGGTATAAACCCCTAGTATTAGAACTACTGAGAGAGAAAGAGACAGAGACATAGAGACAGAGAGTGATTGATGTTGAAGATCATTACTGTTAGGTGAATATGACCAGTGTAGGGATCCATCACTCTCCTCTCTGACAACATGGCCTCCTGAAGAGAGACAAATGAATCTCACACTCATTAACAAAACCTCCTCTCTCTCTCTCTCTCTCTCTCTCTCTCTCTCTCTCTCTCTTTCTGTCTCTTTCTCTTTTTTTTCCAATCATCATGGAACGAAAAAGGAAAGATTAAAGATTTTGATTTCATATTTAGTTTTCATTTTGGATCTGTAGATTGTAAAATATATGAAAAAAAAGTTATTTGGGGTCTGAAGGTGAGTGAGCGTCCTCTTAAATTCAAGGAACAACATTTCTACACACCTGGCGTTCTCCAAACATTCAACAGAATTTGCTTGTGTTCATTTCAGCTCTAAATAACGTCAGCAGTCTGCGATGGACTGGCGACCTGTCCAGGGTGTGTCCTGCCTTCCGCCCAATGACAGCTGGGATAGGCTCCAGCACCCCACCGCGACCCAGAAGGATAAGCGGTTTAGATGATGTATGTATGTATGTATGTATAACGTCAGCAGTCAGATGCATCCAGAGCGCATGATATATTTTCAATATTGAGAAGCTTTTTAAGAGACACAAAACACTTTCATACATTTATGTCTCCCAGGGCTTAGCTTTACAGCCAGCAAAGCGTGAGAATAGTTTGAGTTTTTGAAGCTAAAGTACCCATAGATAAAACAAAAAAGAGATGAAATATTCATCAAAAATGAGAGGTGAAATATACTAACCCTAACCCTAACCTTTCATTATAGTTGCAATTATAAGTTGTTCACGAGCAGTAGCACTGGAAAAATCGATGCATTGAATTTACTTAATTCAAATGTCTACAAAATTTCAAAATTATATATATATATATATATATATATATATATATATATATATATATATATATAACAGCAACACAAAACTATCTGTGATTTTACCTACTTTGGCAATAACTGTGATGTAATCTATTCTATTCGTGTGGAAATGCTGTAGACATTAAAGTCAATTCAATGCATTCATTTTTCAGCTTACGTTTAAACTAAAGTGTGTTTGAAAGAAAAGTGTGACCGAGGGCAGAGAAATTAAAGAGACAAATTTATTGAGAATTTAGAGTCCGGCTCCAGTTCAGATAAACGAACTCAGATCTAGACAGAGAAATCCAGTGCTGGTCTTTGTAATAAATGGGTGACTTTTTTTAGTTTGAATTGAGCAGAAAGAGAAGATGAGAACAGGTTTGTTTTTGACTTTTAACTTAAATAGAATCGACCTGATAGCGTTACAGTGTTGAATGCATGGAAACTCGTCGTGTAAACCACATTAGGCCAGTTTTGTTAAGTCACGACACTTAATAACTGAAAAAATAAGTTTAATTAGACTACACGAAACCGTTTAACGTTTTGGGCTGTAGTGTCTGTTGAATATTAATAAGAACTTAAGAAAACATAGTACCCCCTGCAGACCCCCAAACTGTCCTCTGTGCAGTTAATAAATGCAGATATTAAACTGAGTGGAGAATATAATTGTCCCCCGAGCGCCTGAGAGACATAAATATTTCAGTAATTTTCCGAGATAAAAATTTTAAGTAAACTCTAAACTGTCTTTTTTATTACACTCAAAGCTGAGCAATGCAGCTGCAGTCGGCAGTGTTTTGGGTCTCAGGTTAAAAAGCCCAGTTAGTTCTGACCCCAAAGCGCTGAGCTCAAACACAGCAGACCACAAACACGGTCTGATCTCCGAGTCCTTATGATGAAGCTGAACTAGAAAGAGAAACAATCCTCGTTATCATCTTAACTAACCACGCGCATCCATAGCAACATATCAATTAATCTATTGGTTAATTATAGGCTACGTCATCCTGCTTAATTTAAGGCGTGATGGAGTCGTTCTTCATAATTAGGCTTATAAAGAGTCGCGATTATAAACAACGCTGTGTTTTCTTCTGCACTTATTTCCAGCCTGACTGAACGTTACAAACAATTTAACCGTTTTCTTTAAGATTGGTCACATCACTGCAAATGTAGCACGTGCTTTGTAGTCTTTTGATTATTTATTTCAACCAATCACCGTTTTTTCCACAAAAGAAATGGGAAAATAGCCTCTTGAAGACTGCAATGATTTGAATAACACATGCAAAATCTGTGGGACAACAACAAAAAAATTGCCCTTTTACAACCGTTCAAGGGAATTCTTAAAATGTGTGTGTGTGTGTGTGTGTGTGTGTGTGTGTGTGTGTGTGTGTGTGTGTGTGCGCGTACATGCAGATAAGCAAACTAAACATCAACTTATAAATACTTTTAAAAACGTCCATTTACAATCATATTCCATAGTGCACGTGTGTGTCATTCAGACACATTTTAATATTTACAAATGTACAAAGCAATAAATTAAAGACAGGGGCACACTTAAGATTTGGAGGGGGCAGAACAAAATAATAAAACCTCGACAAAATATCGTATTAAAAACATCTATTGATATAAAGGTGAAATCCGTGTTGATACTCGAGTTAATTCCTTTGTTTGTTTGTGCTTCATGCATTTCGTTGTTGGAGCAGGTAGAGGAGTTTTGTTTGTTTGTCTGTTTGTTTGTTTTTTCAGGGCCTGGCTCCCTGCTCGAGCTGCTGGTGCTGACTCCTGACGGCGAACCTGTTCACGTGCACCGGGATGGGCACCACGATTTTGGGGTTCCTGGCGGGCTCGCCCGAGCGCCCGCCCGCGTTTCCCGCCTTGATGCGCTTCCACTTGGCGCGCCGGTTCTGGAACCAGATCTTCACCTGCACCTCGCTGAGCTTGAGCGCGTGCGCGATCTGCGAGCGCTCGGTCAGAGATAGGTACTTCTTACAGTGGAACTCCTTCTCCAGCTCAAGCAGCTGCTCGCTCGTGAAGGCGGTCCGTCGCCGGCGGCTCTTGGCCGCCGAAGCGCCCGGAGGCAGCGGCTCGCGAGACCCTCCTCCCCCTCCTCCTCCTCCTCCAGCGACCGACTTCAGCTTGCCCCCGTGGCCCGGAGCGCACGCGGCGCCGTCCGAGAAGCTCTCGTTCTCGCTGTCGCCGCCTGAGCTTTCGTCCCTGTCACTGCACACCGCCTCCGCCGACTTCAGCTCCAGTTTCTCATCGTCTGAGCTGTACAGTTTGGTCTCACCTGCGGAGGGGGAGGGACAAGGCACGTGATTAGCATTAGCTGCTCCTTCCTCTACTTCAGGTGAGTAAACCCACCGGATAAACCCAGACTCACTTTTTTTTCCCTCTTTCATTTTCCGTTCAGAGTGTTTGATTATTCTGGTATGATTATAAGACGTTAAGCAATACTTAGTATTAAAATGTCAGCATGTCACCTGCGTAATCGCCACAAGTTGCTATAGCCAACAAGCTGTAGAAGTTTAGCCATTGCTTTTTATAGAATTGTTTTCTTTTTGTTTAAACTCTTTAGACCAAAAATGATACTTTCTATTAATTTCGTTTTTTTTAATGTATAATCCACAGTTATTATTCCACTTATAATTACTTCAAACAGGTTTAAAGTGTAGACGCTATTTTTAATGTAACGCAGTTGACCAATGACAGTTTATCTGGGTTTTTTTATATTTTATTTTCTGACCTGTTTTATGACCTAGGCTATTGTGATCAGCTTTAGAAAGTATGTCGATCCAATAAATTAATAGCAGTATTATACAGAAACAGCTAACTGAACATAAAAGTTAAACAGTACTTTTTTTAATTTAGTATTTCTATTATCTTCTGTTTTCTTTGAACTATTTAAACTAAATGTGATGCTTCAGTTTTTATATTCGTGAACAAAATTAGCTTCTCATTGTCGCGAGTTTTTCGCCGCAAGATTAATGCAAACAGCTTAAAAGTGCGCAGTGGGTCTAAATCAGCTCAGCAGTTAAATGTTTCTCAAGCAAAAAGCAAAAATAAACAGCAGCCATTAACAAAAACATGACCAAAATATCACATTTGATCTACACGATAAAACACGACAACAGCCAAATTAAACATATACTATCAGTGCAACTGTGGTTAACATTTTTACGGAAAAATCTGTCGTAACACCGAAATGTTTACCACAAAACTGTTTTGGAAAAAAATCCCTCACAAAACGTTTGCATTGTGCCTCAGTTAACTCTGATGTTTTCCTCACAAACGCTTTCAGATCTCTACCACAAAACTTTGCTGTAAAACTTTTGACATTCTATCACAGTAACTCTGAAAGTCTTTGCAATAAAACTGTGACATTTTTAGCTCAAAAAATCTCACCTGCCACGGCCTGAAAAGTTTGGTTGAAGTTGAGCAGCTCGGCGCTCTTGTCGCGGTGGTGCAACAGCTCTTCTCGCGGGCTCTCGCGGCCGCTGTTGGGGGGCTCCGCGCTCAGCCGCGCTCCCGCCGCCTCCTGCGTGGAGTAGAAGCCGTCTGCGGGCTCCGAGAAGGCGGGCAGCGCGGTGGTGAGAGCCACCATGGAGGGCACGCCCTGACCCAGGCCGGCGCAGAACGAGTTGGTGAGGCGGCCGGCGAACGAGGCGAGCGGCGCCAGCGGCGGGATCCCCGAGGGCAGGGGCGCGTGGGGCAGCACGAGCGGCCGGTAGGGCATGAACATGGGGTAGCCCGTGTAAAGCAGGTGGCCCGGTCTGGGCTGCGGAGCGCCGATCAGCGAGTCGATGGAGAACGCCGTGCCCGGACCGCTCGGTCTCTGCATGCTGAGGGAGGGAGAGGGAGCGGCGCGCCGACAAATCCCTGCACACCTTCAGTCTGCTGCCCTCCACCCAGCCGCCCAGACAACAACAACAAGAAGAAGACAAGTTTCAAAAAATAAATATATAAAAATAAAAGTGTTGCTCCGCGATTTTTCCTCCTTCTTCTTGCTGATTTTTTCCTCTCCTCACTCTGACTGGAAGAAAAAAGAACTCGGCGGTGGTTTGTGTGTGCGTGTGTGTGTGTGTGTGTGTGTGTGTGTGTGTGTGCACGAGAGAGAAAGTGTGTGTGTTTTTTTTAAGGTCTCGCGCCTCACCACTCAAACACTCTCTCACTCTATTGGTCACATACTGAGACATAAACACGCACGAGCGTCCCTTTTTCTTTCCCGCCTCTCTCTCTCTCTCTCTCTCTCTCTCTCTCTCTCTCTCTCTCTCTCTCTCTCTCTCTCTCTCTCTCTCTAGCACACAAAACGCTTATCATCAATACAAGAGGATAGAAGGGGGAGTCGCCCTGGAGGCTCATCCATCTTCCTCAAATTACGCTTCATTTCCTCATTCAAGCTGGCTCTTTCTTTCTTTCTTCTTTAATTTTTTATTTATTTATTTATTTTTTTGGCCTCTCCGAGAGGCGTTCACTTTCCCAGTGGATGCCAAACACTCGGGTCAAGTCTTAGTGGCTGACTGAGGGACCCCCCCTCTAAAAAAAAGCCCTTCGACCACACCGAGCCAATCGGCTATTATTAATTTTGATTGATGATAAGTAATTACTTTGCATTGAAGGGGAGATACACGACCGCGGCGCTTTTGTGGAAGTTTCTGGCCTGATGGCTGCAGAGTGGAGAGGGCGGGGAGGCAGCTGTTTGGCCCTCTTGTGGGGTTGAGGTTTTTGGGGGTGGGGAGCGGTAAAGGGGTCTTTTTGGTGCTTTAAGAGGAGCTGCCCCAACAATGATGCCCCAGAGAGGGAAGGTTTCTTCCTGACAGCGCACTGCTGTAGGAAAACAACCCCAACGAGGGCGCTTTCTGGAGTGAGCACTTTATTAACAACGAGCTGCGGATCAAACGGGTCCATTAGACTGGCCCACTGGAGAAACATCAGCAGTAAAACTGTATATATGTCATCAGCTCGATTCAAACCACTTTAAACAAATGATCTGACACACTTTAAGTGGGATTTTTAATTATGCATGGACTGTAATCTTTGTTGAGTTAGGGATCGCGTGGCAGAGAAATGTCGACTTTTAATGTTTTTATTTATTTTTATATTCAAACGGCTTTAGTACAACAAGTACTATCTATCTATCTATCTATCTATCTATAATATTTTTTCGTCGCATGTCCGCCGAGAGGGGGCATTGAGAGAAAGATCATTTGTCTCCGAACTTTTTTTTCTGGCCCTAAGTAGCCCTGTTCGCCTAATTCTGACTCATTTCTTTAAACGCAGCGCGCCGCTGATTAGTCGCTGTTGAGTGGCGGGGGCGCGAGAGCTCCGACCGGCCGCGTGATTGCGGACATAAACAGCAGCTCCGACTCTGATTGGCCGCGGAGCGCTAATTAGTCTCGTAATTACAAATGACTCCATTCAGGATCAGCGGGCTCTTTGATCTACTGAAACCAGACAGACAGCCTCTCTCTCTCTCTCTCTCTCTCTCTCTCTCTCTCTCTCTCACTTTACCAGCGCTTCTTTCAGGCCTGCTTTCGTAAACCATTTTCCGAGGAGTTTATTTGTGCAAATAGATTAACAATACGAAAAATATTATAAACAATAATTAAACAATACGAAAAAATTTAGTTTGATCAATTATAAAAATGATTTTAACCATGTTTTCCTCTATATTCAGTTACATTCCGTTTTCCAAGTTTACTATTACACAACTTATGTTTATTGGGATTAGCAGTAGTACACAAGTGCACTGACTTTACTTGATTTAAATGTGTACATCGGTTCCACATGAAAAAAATATGTTGCTTTTGAATTGACTAAATATACTATTTTTGTAGAAACCATGTACACATTCAAATCAAGTAAAGTCAGTACACTTTTTTACTTTGTTGTTATTATTATTTGTAGTATTAGTAGAGGTAGTTTTTTTTTACTTTGCTATTATAATTAGTATTATTTTTATAATTATAATTATTACTATTACTACCATTATTATTAGTAGTAGTAGTAGTAGTAGTAGCAGTATGAGTAAGGCTGGTGTAGTAAAGAGCAGTAGACTATTTGATATTATTATTGGTGCTCCTTTACTGTAGGTCAGGGGAGTTTGGAAGTATATCAGGATCATTAAACCCCCCTCTCATTTACAGCAGTTTTCACTCTCTCTCTCCTCCAGCATGATCGTCATCCTCCACTCTCCATAATCTCCTTCTCAATACAGCACATCTGCACACTGTGCTGCCTCTAGCTCCACTCTGCTTTTGTTTTACATTTCATCTCCAACCAACGACTGTAGCTCAGCGTTTCTTTGCATTGTTCATCAGTACATATGATTTTTTGATGCCATTGAATCTATCACTATAGGTTATCAAATGAGTTCTGTTACTTTTAGTAAGTGCTTTTTAAAATCATTTTGTCATCCTGGATCAAAATACTACACAAATCAGTCTATGTGTGTGGCAGTGTATATCTGTGAAAAGTTAGAGAGGAAAAGGAGGATGGAGAGAAGGCAAAAGATGAAAGAGGGAAGGATAGAGAGACGATGATGATGATGATGATAATGAAGGTGTAACAGAGGATTGAGATTTGAGTGCTTCTGTATATTGATTTAATCATACAATTCAGTATATATAATACAGTCAGAATCACAGCAATCACAGACACAGACTAACAGTAAAAATGTTTAAAATGTCGATTCACATGTTAAACTATTAATTCATTTGATGTCACAGCTCTTATCATAGAACACGTGTTAATTTTCTTAACCATTTGTGGTAACAGGCCCAAAAAAATCAACGTCAAAAAAAGCAAAGAAAAAAAATACACAGCACCCCCTTGTGGCTATCAAATTTCCACAGTGTGCTCAGAACCAACAAGCTTCTCACTGAAGATTAGACCACAAGACTTCAAAAGGAAGACACAAAATTGTAATCAATAATACATATTTGAATATTTAAAAATGTAAATATCTTAAATGCTCAATACTAAATCGGTAAGGTAAATCCATATGCTATGGCAACAAAAACCACAGCATATTATTGCAACGCATCCATAGTGAAAAACTTCATCATATGCAATCATATGTTTTATACATGTGCTTTCATGAATCAGTGAATTTCAGTGAATACTTAAGGGAATGAATATAATCTGTAGAGTCATCTACAAAGCCATTCTCCATGGTCAGCAACCACTGTTTATCAGGCTAAGGCTTAGATCTTTCCAACACATATTCTATTAGTCGGACAACTTCTGTCTAAAAAATGAAGGTTTATCAAATAAGTGTCAAATATATTACATTTATACATCTTTTACAACTGTCAGTGCTCACTCATATCTTATACAGGCTCGTTTCAGTGCAGTTCACACTCACATTTTTGAAGTCGACATCCATATGGTTGCAGACCATCTTCTGTCTTTCTTGTGAACAAGAGTCAGTTCAGCTGTAATACAGACATGGTTTCCCAAACGCTTGATTAGGGGTGTAAAAAGGCATCATGATATTGTGCTTTGTCAGTCTGAAGATGGCAATTTAATGCTTTTGGAATGTTATAACTGATTATAATAATATTAACTAAAATTTTGACTAAAATAAAATTCTTGGCATATGGTAAAATCTAAAAAACGGAACTGCTTGTTAATTTTGTTTTATTGATTCTATTTTCCACTTAGTGCATAAATAGTTTCTCCAGTCATATTTGGTGTATTTTTTATAATACTGAAAATACCAAAATAGTTTAATTAAATCTTGATGAAATCTGACATTTAATGGTGCAGTGAACCATCTCCTAAAGAGCTGTAATTGTGTTGAATTGTGAGATCAGACATTTACACCCCTACTTTTGATTATTCACAGGCTGAACATCTGTGGCCTTGCAAAGGACTACTCAGCGCAGACGTCTTCACAATTCAACACATCATAAGTGTGAAGCTGATTGGATGGAGCACTCAAAATCTTGCATGGCTCAACAGGTTCCTAGTGAACATAACCTCGGAACTCCAGCATCAGGTAATCCTTCAGAAAAGTAGGCAGGCCCAGTCTGGGCACTACTTTGGACATGCGATTGTCCAAATAGGTGCGTAGCTGGTAGCGGGCCAGGTGCTGCAGGGAGCGAGGAGTATGGGCCAAGGCAAAAACGGACTCATAGAATTCTCTGTGTTTCTGCAGGGAGAACCCAGAGAACAGCATATAGGTGAAACATGTGGGGGGCCACAGCAATCGACTGTCTCCTGTACATTATCTTGAAGGAATTGAAATTTATAGTATGACGTAAAAATTTAGGCACTGACTTTAGCAAATACTTTACCAAATACAAATACCCCACTTCCTTGTGCATCACATCTGAAATATGCTGTCTTATATCGTACCCTTATTAATACCTTCTGATTGACACTATCAATAGTTATTTGTCCCTAAAATCCAGACTCTTTCTATGTAGGGCCCAGGTATCTGTGGTTCCTCCTCACCTGAAACACCTCTGGGGAAACTGCCTCCACCCATTCATCTGTAACCTTGATGCGATCATATGCATTTAGCAGCACTTCTATTGTTCGTGGCGACATACAGCAGTACTTAAGCACCTGAAAGGAATGTACATATACATGTCAAAGACAGTATCTCTATCTCTCAACTACGTCTGTAGTTTACTAGCCACATTTAGTGCAAATACTGAGAAATTGGATGGGAGTAATGTGGAGTAGTGTACTGTTAATACCGGGATGATGCACTAGAACTGCTGAACAATGATATCCGTACGGAATGTTGCATTGTTGTTTGAACTCAGCGGACTGCTTGAAACATTTCTAAAGAGAGATTCCTTTGTCTTGCAGTAGCTGTATTTCTACCCTGTTTTGTTTACACTGTTTGTGATATGATTTTAAAATGGTAGAATGGTAACTGGCCATGTTATGTTATAGCTAACTGCTAACCCAGGAGCAATTCAGTAATGTGATGAACCGTGTGGTAATTTGCGTTTCCGTGTTGTGCGACACATTAAGTGCTCTCTAGATAGTGAATAATGTAGCGTATAGTGTACGAATATTGTACATATTATCTGAATTGTGACACTGGGTATGGCTTTTTGGCAGAGGTTAGAGTGCAATACATGAATCTTCTGTCACAAATGCAAAAGTTCCTTTAAATCTAATAAAAACAAAATTATCATGGGGCACATTTTGAGAGGTTTAAACAGCCATGCCGCAATATTTATAACCATCATTCAAAATTAAAATGCTGTAATTTCCTGCTAATTTTTTGCTTGCCAATACTTTTGCTGACAACTGAAGCATATGATCGATTTAATTTAAATATATACTGAATTAAGGTGCAGCAAATTATGTTGAAACATTTGGCAGTGGCAAGTCAAGTGGCTCGTGTTGATAGCATTTGTTGTTTGTAACTGGTCTGAGAACAGTTTCATAGTTTCTCTTAATTCAGCCAATAAATTTGGATAATAGTAGCTGTTCCTAGATCAGGAAGACAGTGGCAGCTTCCACCTGGAGCGACATCCCCACCTGTTTTGGAAAGGGCAGAGGTCGGAGGGCGTATTTCTGGGGGAGCGCAGAACAGAATAATTAAGCACTTGGCTTGATGAACAGATTGGGCCCCCCTCTGGGGGATTGTCGAGAACTTCTGCAATTAGTGCTAATTAATCTCCTATTAACATTTGCCTCGTTAAGACTCAGGCAATTTATCTGGCACAAGTGGGATTCGCTGGTTGTACTGTACTGACTGAAGGGTACAATGAGCAGAGCCTTTAAAGCCAAACCACAAAATTACGGTAAAATCAATCAAATCAAACTTTGTGTATCGTTCATATCTCTGTTTACTTTGCTGTAACATTTATTAGTTTGTTTATTTCATGTGCTCTATAAATCTGTATACACATTTGACTACATGGTACAATTTCTTCTGAGAGCATTTGGCATTAGCACCATATTCCTTGATTCACTTCCCATAAATTAGGTTTGGATTTGGTTTCATTTAATCTCAGTCTCTGATCCACATAAGCATTCCCTTACACAACGCTATACGGATTGATTTTCATTCCCTGAAGAGATGAAACTGAGCTTTCCTTAAGCAAGACACACTTCCAAAAATATCCTAAGGTTCAAGTCTAGGCCTGAGCTTTCTCCAGCCTTCAGCCCATGTCAAAAAACTCTCAACACATGCTGGCTTTTAAAAGTCTCTTAGACCTCTTTGATGTGTTGGTAAACATGCTGATGTCAGATCAGTAGTACAGAATCCTGTAGTTGGTCACTGTTTGCGGACAGCAGCCACTTACATCCGAATTACAGCAAAATCAACGGCGTAACTAAATGCAGTTTTGGCAGCGGTGGGGCGCCTGTGGCAGCTGGTCCTTTTAACATTTTTATTGTGCTACTTGTATGTAATTTTACACCGAAGACTCATGGATAACTACGATAACGATGTAATATACAATGCAATTAATATACAGAACTGTGCAAAAGTTAGAGACCACCCTTTATTTATTTAATTTCCAGTCCATAAAGTACAATTTATTAAATCTTTAGGAGACATTTCTGAGGAAATTAGATATAATATTTGCATGAGGAGGAAAATCAAAGGAAAATAAAACTATAAAAGATACAGACAAAATGGGACACCCAGCAAGTGTGCAAGACCTCGTAGACCATCAAAACTGTTACCATCAGATAAACAGAATTTAAAGCTTTCATCTTAGGGATAGGAGAAAATCAGGCTTCATTCTGAAAAAATCAAAGGTGTTTTGTCCTCCCTCTTCTGTGAGAAGAGAACACCGTGCTATGGGTCTGAAAGACGTGTAGCTGTCAAGAAGCTGTTACTGAGCAAAGGAAATAATAAAGACAATACAGAAGAAAATTTGGACTGGCCACTCCAGAATACAGACCTCAGTATCACTGAATGTGTTTGGGATTATTTGGATTGAAACTGCAACCGAGGACTGAACTTGGAAATGTTTAAAAATATCGCAGATTTTTTTGAAAAAGTGAAAGCAAGTCTGCTGAAAAGAATGGAAGCTGTAATGAAGGCAAAGAGTGGACACACTAAATACTGGAAAATGTGATATTGTGTTTAGTTTTTGAGGCTACTTTGTAATTTTCGATTATATATGTGTGCTGCTTTTTTAACTTCTACTTAATTACTGTTTTGACTGGAAGTTAAATAAATGAAGGACAATCTTTGGTTTTTGCACAGTACTGTATGTCGACGACAAGCCTATATTACAAGCTTAAGTTAGAAATATTGAGTAAGTAAGGAAATTAGATTGCCATTTTGTGTGAAGGCCCATTGATTTTTTGTTTTGCACTGTGGCCATAATCAATCATAAAAAAGCAGAGATCAAGTTAATTTTATCCCATGTGTTGATAAAGGGGGATCAGTGGTCTGAAAGATATGGTAAGGTTCTCTATTTTCATGCAGAGTAATGGGGAGAAAAAATTTTATATCAAGAATATATGTGTATAAGATGATGGGCTAGTGAGAGTTGTGAAAGGTGGGGGTGTTATGCAGCCCATGCTTAATACATACAGACTCACCTTTGCCAGTGCTCCTGGCCAAACCCTGATGGATCCATAGTTCAACAATGCCTTCACTATCCTCTCTGGCTGGTGCTCGATCTTATAGGCCACTATCTTCAGAATGTTATGCATGGGTGCCTCCCCACCATAGTCCATGCTGTTGACGGAGGCGCCCCTTTGCAGCAGCAAATCCACTACGTCTGGGTTGGCGTTCTTGCAGGCCATGTGTAGAGGTGTCTGCTTGTCAGCGTCACCCGTCTGCACGTCCGCTCCGGCCTCCACCAGCTGCTGGCACACTTGCCTGGAGCGCTCCAGGGCAGCCAACTCCTGTGGCTGTGAGCAGGCAGAATTGAGTGGTGTGAGGCCATCATCATTCTGCCGCTCTAGTGCCGCGCCATGACGCAGGTAGAGATCCACATGCACCGGGAGGCCGTGACGCGCTGCCACGTGCAGCGGTGTGTCATTTTCATCCAGGCTGCGTCCATTGATAGCGGCTCCGAACTGGATGAGGTGTTTGGCACACCTGTAAGAAACCATGAGAATCACAGGGATAACAGATCTGAATAAAAGTTCCACTGGAACCATGGTAAAATATAAATGAAAAAGAAGGGTATATTTAATTGTGTCAACTGAATATCACTGAGGATTAAAGTGAAAGTTCAGGGAAAAATGTTCAACATATTACATTACTTACTGAACTTATACTGCAACCATTTCATATCACATTACTTATGGTTTCAGTGTGCTTACAGTGTAACAATTTCATATGATGAAAATTATGGTGTCACTGTACTTACATGGTAACTATTTCATATTACATAAATTATGGTGTCATTGATCAGTCAAGTCATGTTTGGTGTCTTAGTAATGTAAGTCTATAATATCCATGCCCAAATAATTCCATATTTGCCTTAAATTCCATCAAGATTTATAAAAATGGACAGCAGTACAGACAATTTGGGCTGTTATCTAATGTACTTTTGTCCATTTATATAGATGAGTGTGTCATACAGTGTCAGAAACCACATAAGCAAGTCTGTTTGAGTTTACTGAACAACTCAATATGATTTATGTATGATGTTTGCACACTGCTAACTGTTGGGCTGTAAGTTTCCACTACTTGTTAGTTTCATTAGCTTTGCAGCTCAATGCAAAACTAAAGAATCAGAAAAGAAACTTCAGACACCAAACATGTCTTGCTGATTGGATACATCTGGGGAAAGGGAAAAATTGTGTAAATATATTTATATTTTGCTTAACTATTGCTTTATTATTATTATTAGGTACTGGCAAGTAACTATTTGTATGTGAGGTTACGTGTGTTTATGCAAAGATGTGGACCTGTTTTTCTCCATTTTTGTCAATTTTATTGCAAGATGATTTCTGTTTTAAATATGAGGTCTTTTCTTTTTACTTTTTTGGGTATATTACATCATAGAAAATACGAATGAATGGGTGTTTTTCATAAGTTTCTAATATTTTAACTTAGCCAGGCTGTGGTAAATTCCCCAATAGTGCAATCCTTACAAAACCCTTATTTATTGATGGTGTGCTTCTAGAGGGGTTGAGCAATTGCTGCTACTTAATTCTTCCTCTCCTTCATGCTCTTCATTCCACCTTCCCTACCATATCATGTTACGGTACTTACAGTATAGCAAAATTCATATTATGTTATGTATGGTGTTACTGTACTTATGGTGTTGCAAATTGAAATAATCTCTGCAAATTACTCAAACAGTTCTTACTGTTGTGGTTATTAATACTCACTCTAGAGAGTTCAGCTCTGTACAGACGTGGAGGGGCATGAGTCCGTCCTCATTGACAGCATTGGCATTGGCACCGTACTCCAGCAGCAGTTTGACGCATTCCGGTTGGCACTCCTCGCAGGCCTCATGCAGTGCACTGGTGCCACCAGGGGCAAAATCAACATTGGCTCCTCTCAGCAGCAGGTGCCTGAGGCAGTCAGTGAAGCCTCGGCCTGCTGTAATGTGCAGAGGAGTCGTCAGCTCCTGCTCATAGGTCAGCGACCACAGTCCTGGAGCAAAAAGCAACAAATGAGAGGCTATATTAGTCAAGAACATATAGCGTGTAATATACTAATGGAAGCAGAAAATGCTGAAGTGCTGAATGCTGAATCTTCTAAGCCGCTTATCCCTCTGGGTCACGGGGGTGCTGGAGTCTATCCCAGCTGTCATCGGGCAGAAGGCAGGAAACACCTTGGACAAGTTAGAAATAAATAACACAAAAAAATTTCCCAACAGTTGTTATAGTTAAAGTCATAAGTTTACATATGTCTTACCTACATTCATTTAAACTCTCTTTTTCTCTCACAATTCCTGACATTTAATCCTAGTACACATTCCCTCTCTTAGGTCAGTTAGGATCACTACTATATTTAAGAATGTGAAATGTCAGAATAATACTAGAGACAATTATTTATTTTAACCGTTTTTTCTTTCATCACATTCCCAGTGGCTCATAAGTTTACATACATGTGGTTAGTATTTGGCAGCATTGCCTTTGAATTGTTTAACTTGAATTAAACTTTTCAGGTAGCCTTCCACAAGCTTCTCACAATAAGTTGCTGAAATTTTGGCTCATTCCTCATGACAGAACTGGTGTTACTGAGTCAGATTTTTAGGCCTCCTTGCTCGCACATGCTTTTTCAGATCCGCCCATAATTTCCAGTACCATTTTTGTTTCATTAGTCCAGAGGACATTTCTCCAAAAAGTAAGAACTTTTCCCCATGTGCAGTTGCAATCTGTAATCTGGCTTTTTTATGATGGTTTTGGAGCAGTGGTGTCTTCTTTAATAAGTGGCCTTTCAGGTCATGTCGATATATGACACATTTTACTGTTGTACCTGTTTCCTTCAGCATCTTCACAAGGTCATTTGCTGTTTTTTGATCAATTTGTATTTCCCACACACAGAACGAGTCTCCTTCCTGAATGGTATGATGGCTGCGTGGTGCCATGGCGTTTAAACTTGCATATTATTGTTTTAACAGATGAGCTCATTTAACAGATGAGCAATTATTTTCTGATGTCTCACCTGATTTCTTTTGATTTTCCCATGATGTCAAGCAAAGAAGCAAGTAGGCCTTGAAGGCGGGCCTTAAAATACAGCCACAGGTACAACTCCGATTAACAAATGATGTCAGTTAGCCTTTCAGAAGCTTCTAAAGCCGTGATGTCACTTTTTGGAATTTCAGCTATTTAAAGGCACAGTCAGCTTGGTGTATGCAAACTTCTGACCCACTGGAATTTTGACATAGGGAATTATAAGTGAAATAATCTGTTTGTAAACATTTGTTGGAAAAATTGCTTGTATCATGTACCAAGTAGATATCCTAAACCACTTTCTAAAACTATAGTTTGTTTCCATGGAATCTGTAGAAGGGATATATATGAGTCTTAATGACTTCAACCTAAGTGTGTGTAAACGTATGACTTCAACTGTATAGTTATTTATTAATGACTTCAACTGTGTAGTTATTTAAGAGTCCTCATGTCATGTCAGAGTTCTAAAATAACATAATGCAGTTTTTAAAAAACGTGATATTATTGTTTAAAGAATTTAATGATTAACTTGATTAATCATCTGAACGTGGCGCATTAAGACAAGGCTGAAGTTAGTTACTTGTTTGTAGCTTCCGAATTGTCTGCCTCCTAATTCGCAGCATCTTATTCACCAGCTGAAGTTAGCTCCATATTCGTGGCTTCTTATTCAGCAAATGATAGTAATATAAAGGAGTGTTCACATTCACATATTTGCTGTGCAATTTCCATTTTGGCAGACTCAGAGAGACTAATAATTGAGACATAATAATAAAGGACTTAAGAATGGGCACTATGTTTGCCATAGCATAGTGAATATGAAGAATATGACTATAAGGTAACAGAAGATTTAATTCTGCAGATGCTTCTTCAGTTCTTTTCTACTGTATAATTTCATTGCAAGTACTTTAAAGTATGAGACTGAAGAAAAACTGACATCATGGCACATTTAACAGTAATGCTATAGGAATAGGAAGCTAAATTCCATGTAGATATTTAAGGCCTTATTCACATCGGGCCAGAAAAATTACATATACTAGATCGAGATTCAGTCTCCTACTGTAAGGAAAACCTGGTTTTAGCCTTGCCCAAGCTAATTTAATGCTAATAAAAATAACTGCCAACATGACACATAGAGCAGTGATGCCCACAGGTAAATGAATAGGAAGCTGAAATTCCAGGTGTATACTGAAGACATTATTCATGTCAGGCCAGAATAATTACATATCACAGATAGAAATCCAGTACCCAACTACAACTTCAATTCCAAAAAAGTTGGGACGCTGTGCAGAATGTAAATAAAAATAGAATGCAATGATATGCAAATCACGTAAACCATATTTTTAAAGGATAATAGTAGAAAGACAACATATCAAATGTTGAGACTGAAAAACTGTATCGTTTTTTGAAAAAAATGTGCCCACACGGGCATGTTTACCACTGTGCTGCATCACCTCTTCTTTTAACAACACTCTGTAAGTGTTTGGAAACTGAAGAGACCAACTGCTGTAGTTTTGAAAGTGAAATGTTTTTCCATTCTTAGTTATTATAGGATTTCATTCATAACGTGCCAAATGTTATCAGTGGTGACAGGTCTGGACTGTAGGGCATTTCAGGTCAGTTCAGCACCCAGATTCTTTTAATACAGAGCAATGCTCTTGTAATACATGCAGAATGTGGTTTTACATTGTTTTGCTGAAAAAAGCAAGGCCTTCCCTGAAAAGGGGGTCGTCTGCATGGCAGCATATGTTGCCAAAACATGTATATATCATTCAGCATTAATGGTGCCTTCACTGATGTGCATGTCACCCATGCCATGTGCAGTAATGCTCCCCTATACCATCATAAACACTGGCTTTTGAACTGTGCACTGATAACAAGCTGAGTGGTCTTTAGCCCAGAGGACACAGTGTCCATGACTCTGATCTAGAAATCAGATAAAAGATCCAGTCTCCCCCTGTAAGCAAAACCTGGTTTTAGTTTGTCCCAAGCTGATTTGATACATTAAAACAACTGGTAACATGGCACATTGAGCAGTAATGCACGCAGTTAAAGGAATGGGAAGCCGAAATTCCAGGTGGATGTTGAAGGCATTATTCACGTAGGGCCAGAATAGTTACATATCTGAGATAGAGAACCAGGTTCCTACTGTAAGGAAAACCTGGTTTTAGCCTGGCCCAAGCTGATTTAATACATTAACACATTGAGTAGTAATGCACACAGGTAAATGAGCTGGCTCACACTTAAAATTTCCGTTGGACAGCTGATAGACTAGTGACGACATTTCATCCAGTGACAAAGCAAAAACAAGTGAAGGCTATAAATAAGTATTGAAATCGGGACTACATTAAATAAAATGGTAGAAGCAGACCACCAACTTAACGCCAGGAATGACCAGTTTGGTCATTAGATTCAACAGTCAACACATAAAATAGTGGAACATGCAGACATTAAAGCAACACTATGTAGGATTTGGGGATTTAGAGACCTCACTGAACCTGTGCATATGATATTAATACATAAAGACATGTGAAGTGGTCCGAAAAGCTCCCGCCAAATCCGCCCTGGTACCTTTGACTTTTAAATGATTACATCAGGCTTTATAGGGAGACTTGCAACAGTGCACACACACCATATTTTAGTTCTTTTTTCTTCTGACTTAGTAATGCTACTTTTTTCAGTTTTAACAAAAATATTACAAAGTGCTGCTTTAATATTAGCAAATCTTCAAGAAACCAAAATGCATAATGTTATGAAATAGTGTAAAAAATCATTTTAATCTAATCTACTACAATTCTATAATATTCTATTCCATATACAACAGACATGAACTCTTGACATACTCAACCCTCTGTAGTTGAACCTGAAGTTCTTCCACTCCTCTATGTCGCTAGTGTCATAAATAGCGTCCATAAGGTGCACATATTCAGGGTCATCAATGATACTGATCACAGTGATCTCATCGCCAACCAAAAGTGCGTTCCAGAATTGAAGAATGCATCCTTCAGCGCGTGCTGTTGCAATCACATCATTGCGATATTTCTTCTGCTTCCGGAACTTAATCTTTGGCGCCATGCCAGAAAAGAAAGAGTATCTCTGCTCAAGGTCTATAAAGCTCCTAATTGGATAGTATCCAACTTCAGCCTTCCTTCAAAGAACCTTCTTGTTTGGATGCTGTTTTGACCAGTAGGACAGTTGTTTCTCTTGGGTAACGTCTGGATAGTCTGAGCTCTGTTTGTCTGGACAGGGGCTATTTTAAGGGACACTGACTGATATCTGACCTTTTGATACCTTAGACCCATGAGGTGTTTTGGGCCTCTGTAGCTGATGAAATTTGTGTGCTCACATATCAGGCTATTGCATTTATTAACATGTCCCCATCAATATTGACCTATACGTGCTACCTTGACCTCCAGAAGTACTGGCACCCTCGAGAAATGCGAACAAAAAAAAAAGCTATGAAAGATTGTCTTTGCTGAAAATATGTATAAAAAGTAACCTTTCCGTAAAGCAAAATTTAATACTGACCAGTATTGTGTCTTCTCTTACAATACAGGATGATGACATGGGAGAACATATATGAAGGTTTCTGAGATCATTTGTCCAGACAAAATCACCTCCAAGAGTCCTTAGTCTTCATCTCCACTGAAGTCTTCGGTTGAGTTTAGGTTGTGAACTGGAATGGCGACTACAAAAGCTTGATTCTGTGGTCAGTGAATACATTTCTGTATATATGTGTGATATGCTTTGGATTATTGTCTTTCTCAAGGTGATTCAACCTTAACCTCCTGCTGGAGGCAGCCAAACACTGATGTAAAATCTCCTAGTTTTTGATGAAAAACACAGCCCAACATCATTGTTCCACCACCATACTTCACAGTACAGAGTAGCATCTTTTCTGCATTACCTTGACTCTTTATTGTACCCAACACACTTCTGGTGTTCATATCTGAAAAAAATCTTTTTTTTTGTCATCTGACGATAGACCTAACAATGTTCAGTGAATTCTAGCTACTTAGGTTTGTGGTTTGACAGCAAGGCCTTTCTCCGAACCTGCCTTCTAAATAGTGTGTTGCTATGGAGATGGTACTTAATTGTCATTTTAAAGACTAGTTGCCCCCACAATGCAACTGGTATGAAGCAATGTTTCACACTTTTGTAAAGCTATGTTTATTAGCCTTTGCTTGAAGTTCAACAGCCTTTTGTCTCATTTCATTAATATATTAATTATACATATTCATTAATATATTTTAATGTTTGGCTTATATGTCACTTTATTTTTATCCCAAAGGTTGGGCAGAATACTTTTGAAAAAGACATTATGACTGAATACTAATTACTCACCCCTAAATGTATTTAGCAGAGGTGTGGACTCGAGTCACATGACTTGGACTTGAGTCCGACGCCACTCACGAATTTGATGACTTGAGACTCAACTCAAGAAAATCGAGAAAAGAAAGACTTGCAACTCGTCTTTGACTTCAACACCAACGGCTTGGACTCTGACTCGGACTTCAGCTTTATGACTCAGAAAGACTCAAGACCCAAAGTGGAAGAAACATGGAGGGACGTCTGATTGCAGACTGGTACACAGTCGGTTACATTGAATGTTCATGGATTTGTTTCCTACCGTAAATCTGATGTACAGCAGCATCGTCAGGTGTCTAGTTTATTTTACTTCGGAAGACAAGTTAAGTCTTAGAGCTCAAGTTCGGCTCCAAAAGCTGGAAACAAGCAAAACATCAACTGCATCAATGCGCCCTCGCTCAGCACTTAAACTCTTAGTGGAGAAACTCGCCAGGCAAACTGACCATTTTCCTCATGATAGCAAAACAAAAGAGACACAGCTATGTCTGTTTGACCATTTTTAACAGCTTCTGCAAGTAAAACAAGCGCAACATTCACTATGAGGCTGAAGTTGACTTGTTATTCTCCAGCTAAGTATTGAAATGTCATTCCACTTTAAATGGTGCAGCAGTTTGGCACCAGAATGTAACTGCTGCACCATTTAAGGTGGAACAGAAAATGCAAAAAAGAAGCTGCTGGCGAAAAAAAAAGTCAACTTTGGCTTCGTACATTCACCATCATTTTGCTGTCTTTTCTGTAAACTTTGTTCAGCTCAGTCATTTTGGTTTCTGTTGTCGTCTAAATTCTATTCATATGAGCAGTTGTTTTTAGTTGGCTGAACTAGTTTAGTCCTGAGCTAGTTTTATTTTAATCCTATGTACTCAATGTTCTTTTTCTAACTTCAACAGCATTTTTTCAAATTCTTTTCATGTGTAGTTGCACTATTCTTTGTGTATACAGCATACCTGTCATGGTCATCTGTATACCATGTATTCTGTATTTTAGTTGGAAGGGTAAAAAAAAAAATGAATATACAGTCATACACTACTAACATACTGTCAATAAAAGGCTATAGAACTGTTACCATTATTCAGTGCAATGGCCTTAAATTTGCTGAAGAATGCATACTGACTTGTTTAGGACTCTAAGATTAGGGCTATTGACTTGGGACTCATGACCCACCTGTACTGATTTGGGACTTAAATCGAGACTCGACTTGGGACTTGACTCGGGACTTGAGTGTCAAGACTTGAGGGTAACACTTTCTATGAATGTCACCTTTGTAAGTATCTATAAACACATTCATAACATGTTACAATGCTTTCATAAGGCATCATAAACATGGCTATAAATATTTATAAAAATGCATTACATGTTATAGCCATGCTTATTATGCATTATAAACTGTTAACATAATACATTATAAGTACCGTTCATAACATATTATAAGAGCTCATAAGTTGTATTTGTCCGCTCTAAGTAAAGTGAAGCATAAAGTAAAGCCCGCTCCAGTGTTATGAGTGAGGTTTCAAGCTGTATTTACTGAAGAATTTACTGAAACACTAAAACATACACAGTAAAGCACATTACAGGCTTCAAATGACAGAGTTTAAACTAGTGCTCCCATCAGTGTTTTACCCAATGTGGGAAAGTCAATGTACACCACCGTTAGCTTGGCACTAACTTAACACTGCATATCCAATAGGATTAGCATTACTGTACTGTAGTGTAGTGATGATACAGAGTGAAGGGTTCTAGCTCTTGACGTTAGAACCAGTGAGGGAACAAATTACAATGACAGTACTCTACTATCTCGCCGCTCCCTCTCCAGGCCTTCACTCCACAGTGACTTCACGCTCAGTGTGATGTCAGAGGGGGGTTCAGGTGAGGGGCTGATGGGTGGATGGTTTGCTGTGATGTAATGTAACATTTAAAGTGAGAGTGCTGCTTAAGAAAAGCGCATTGTAGCAGTAATTCTAGGCTGGACAGCCTGTTTGGATCATCTGAATATTCAGGACTGAAGCCCTGAAGATGCAACCCTAACAGCACCAGCACTGAGAAATAACTAATACTGAAAATTTCAGGGAATAAATAAACTTTGTATTTGTCTTTACTTTACATTCTCCAAGCTGGGACTGACTTCTTTGGCACTGACAGTATTACATGTTATTAACACTATTTATAATGCCTTATATGAACAATTCATAATGTATAATAAACATGGCTATAAAGTGTAATTCAGTGTAATTAATTTTATATATATTTATAATCATGTTTATAATGCTGTATGAATGCATTATAACATGTTATAAATGTGTTTATAGATATTTACAAACATGACATTCATAGAAAGTGTTACCGACTTGAGATTTGCTTGTTACTTGCAACTTTCCCATCTCTGGTATATAGTATGTATTCCCTTAATATACGTAAAAAGTAACCTCCTCAAAATACCTTTAGAGTGCATGTAGAATACACATTCCTAGGGCACAAATTCTGCTTTGTAAAATTTCATTAATTCACACTGTTCTGTTACTGGTTTCTTCATGTTATTCTTCTGTTAATATGTTTCAAGTTACAATGTTCTCAACATTAATTTGGCTCTCATTGCCTGCTTCAGTCCACTGCTGCTCCTATAACCCTACTGTCATCTCATGAACTAATCAAACAATTTGCTGTATACCAACAACAAAATCTTGTAAATTTGACTGTAAATTATAGTATAGGACATATTCATTCCGCGTGAACATGTCCTATACTGAGGAAACTGTTGGATCATCCCTCAAAACATTATAGTGGCGCTGAGATTAATAACTGAATCATCACATTGATTTATCAGTTTATTCAGGCTTTAGCAGTTTCAACATTTGTGAAGAGGTTATTTTTGAGTTCTTCTGTAGAGTTTGTTACTTTACATGCTGTGCACTGATTTTAAAAGAGTTAACAAACAAGCATTGACAATGTTTCTTTTAAAGGTGGTATATATTTTTCATTTAGTGGTAAGTATTTTAAAATGATTCTCCTTAAATACGTAAGGTTTAATTTATCTGAATACTGCCTACAAAATGGATTGAATAGATACTTTATTTCTGTATTCCAGATACATGCATTTCATTACATCCCAACCCTGTTTGTGTTAAATGTGACATCAGACTGTACTCTGAGTCTGTGCTCTCTCTATGTTATATGTTACATTACATCCCAACCCTGTAATACCCCAGTGAAGAGAAAGTCATGAAAGACCACTGAGGAGTTTATAAAGACATTGGTGTGCTTGAAAAGAGACAAATATGAGAATATGTCAAGTACATTTTATTCAAATATTGTAGGGGTATCAATAATTGTTGCCTTTTAGAAAACTATTTCCTTTTTTTTTGCGTTTTCAGTGCAGGATTACATAGTTGACCATAGTTGTCCTTGGGTAGCAAAAAGTGCATGAAGAGTTGCTGAATTGCTGAATTGGGTAAATGAAAACTGTGCCAACACATCTTTTAGTTAAAAACCTTTGAAACATTTAGCATTTTGTAAAGGATGCAGCTGAAGACTTAAATAAAGGTGAATGAAGATTAATTTTCAGTGTTAAAAATATTTTGAAAGTTTAATTTATTAATAGACTCAGACTGCTCTGAAATATTCTTCACCAGCAACGACATAGTGTTCATGTAGCACTCTCAACCAAAATAAATATTAATTAATTTCAACCAGTTGAAAAAAATGTGCATTGAGTCATTCAGGTTTTTCCATCATCATTCAGCCAGCCTTTTTTTCATGAATCCATAGTATTTCAAGGACTTCTTCAGCCACTTAAGTTAGGACTTACTCCAAAAAATAAAAATAAAACCCCTCTCTTACCTCTCACTTTCCCGTCTGAGACCCAGCGCATGG